CCATTGTATAATTCTAATCATATCACAGTCTGGAAAAAGGCAAAATTATAGGTACTGAAAAGAAATTAGTGGTTGTCAGGGTTCTCTAATAACAGGAATCAGGGTTCTTTCGGAGAATGGCCTGTAATGCATCAGGGTTCAATGAAAATCTAAGTACAACCCATCACAGTCAACAAGGCTATCCCAAATAATGCAATCACCGAAGCTATAGCCAACGAAATAATGTCCTCACCTTGCTTCCCTTTCTTTTCTAGAAAAGCCTTTCTCCTAGCTCCAGCCTGGGGAGAACTCCTAACAACTCCTGTTTTGGTGCTGTCTGATTTGAATGGATTTTGTTCAAATAAAATTGTAAAATTTTCACTATGCCTAGGTTTATCTTTACCAGTGCATACAATGGAATATTACTCAACCATGAGAAAGAAGAAAATCCTGGCATTTGCGAATGAACATAGAGGACGTTATGCTAAGTGAAATAAGCCTGAGAGGGAAAGACAAATAATGTATGATCTCTCATATGTGGAATCTAAAAATAACCCAGAAGGTCAGAATGGTGGTTGCCAGGAAGGGCTGGAGGGTGAGGAAATGGGGAGACACTGATCAAAGGTTAAAAGTCTCCAGTTACAAGATGAATAAGGTCTGGGGAATCTAATGTGCTCTATGGTGACTGTAATTAATAATATAGTAGGTTATGCTTGAAATTTGCTAAGAAAGTAAATCAAGTGTTCTCATCCCACATACACAAATGGTAAGCATGTGAGGTGATATGTTAACCTGATTATAGTCATCACAAAGTATATGTATGTCTAATCATCTCACTGTACATTTTAAATACACACAATTTTATTTATACCTCAGTAAAGCTGGGAAAGTCTTTAAGAATTCACTTTGGCTTTCTGATTTTTTCTATTGTACGTTTTTTGTTTTTTTTTCTATTTTATTTCATTCTTCTGTCACCTTTGATATATCCTTCTATATTCTTTTTTTTTTTTAATCCTTCTGTATTCTTGGTGTTTCATTTATTGGCCCTTTTCTAGCTTCCCAATATATGAGCTTAAATCATTGACTTCTAAGCTTTTTTTGTAGGAATTTAGACCCACCCATGGAGACCCAGAGCACTGATCGAGGCACATACTACAAATTTTGGTATGTCCTTTTTTTCTTCTTCAAAATATTTTCTAATTTCCTTTGTGATTTTTCTTTGACTCATGAGTTATTTTGTGTGTTGCTTATTTTTTAAACAGTTGGGGGTTTTTCTAGTTTCATTTAGGTATTGACTTTTGATTCTTAGAAAACCCATTGTATGGTCTCCATCTTTCTGGAAGTTGGTCTACTCTGACAAATATTCAGTATCAACTAGAACAGAAGCCCTGTTCTGAAGGGGTCACTGTCAGGATACTCTATATGTCTATCAGCTCCATTGGTTCTGTTGCTAAAAATCTTCTAAATGTTTACTGTTTTGTCTGCTTGTTCTTTCCGCTACTAAGAACGGGGTATTGCATTTCCCAATTGGGATTTTAGATTTGGCTTTTCCTCCTTTTATCTTTTCTGACAAACGCATATATTTCAGAGCTTTGTTATTAAGTGCATATTTGGGATTTTCATGTCTTCCTTATTAACTCTAATCACCATGAAAATATCTCTACTAGCATTTCTTTAAGTTTCCTGTTTATATTAAGTGCATCTGCTTTCTTGTGTGCATGGCATGTCCTTTTCCAAGCTTTCAAACTTAAAGTGAGTCTTGTCTCTTCTAAACAGCATATGGGTGGGTTTGCTTAACATTATTTCTTTTACTTGGACTGTTTCGTACCCTTAATGCAATTACTGAATATTTTGGGCAGTTTGTCCAGCATGCGCAATATAAATAAACCCAGGATGGAAGATGTATGAGGCTTGGCTTTCCAGAAAATGTTACATTCGCTGTGTGATTTTTGTCATGTAAAATGAAGACATCCCTTGACCTAAATAGCTCCTTTTGTATGAGGGATGCCCCCTCTGTGACATGCATATGCTAAATCTCAGCCAGGGCCTAAGGGCCTGAGAAGGAAGAACAGGGGAGCAGCGGTGGAGGTAGTCCTAGATTTCTCTGCACTTCGCCTGTGTCCTGAAATCACCTGCACACCTGACGTTAGTAAAGGTCGATACTGGTTAAGATTTCTGACTCTCATGCGCCTGATTTGATGATCTGACCCTTTGTATCATGTCAGCTCTCTAAGAGGTTTAGCTGCTCTGATCCCTGGCTTCCCCAGGACAGCCGGATTAAGCCCTCCAGAGTGGAAGCTAGATCATGTTACGCCTCCCATCAAGTAGCTCTCTAGACACTTAGGGTAAATGCTTTAATCTACAGTGGCCTCCAGGCGCGCACCATCAGACCTCCCCTTCTCTGTTCCTCCCACCGGCCACTGTCCTACCTCTCAGGGCCTTTGTCCTGTCCCCTCAGCCTGAAGACATCCACAGTGGCTGGCTCTGATGTAGGAAAGATGTTAGGGTTCAAAGCCAATGGCCAAGAAAGAATTCTTGAGATTTCTTTGGTGCAAAAAGGTGGTTTTATTAAAGCACGAGGACAGGACCCGTGGGTAGAAAGCCACACTGGGGTCATGAGGGGTGGCCCATTGTATACTTTCAATTTGGGAGGGGGTTAGGGACAGCAATAAATCTCTAAGGAATTTTGGAAGCCAGGTTTCCAGGACCTTGAGGGGGTTAGCTATTATTGGGAAAGGTCATTTATTATCATCTAGTAAAACCTTAGTCATGAGACCCTTCAGATGTGTATTGGTGGGCCAAATGCTTGGGGGATGATTGCCAACATGTATCTTGGGGGGTTTAGAGATAAAGGAAGTTTCCAAAGGAATTTTTATACGTTAAAGTAGACTTACAGGATTGGGGGGGTCAGGGAGGGGTTGGTCAGGCTAGGATTTCCTTTTGCCCTTAGCAGAGTATTAACATCAAGGCAGCGGAGTTCCTAGAGGAACATCACTCTGCCTGTTTCAAGGACCTGTCAATAGGCTATAAATAGTAAGAGAAATTTTCTTTTGCCTTTGTTTCCCACATCAGCTCCCCTGTCCCTTTCAAGTTTTTCCCTGTCCCTGACTACCCACCCCGAAGTTGCCTCGCCCCTGGAACACTGTAGACCAGACCTCCTTACGCATAACTGGTACGTCGATTTATTCAGATACGTCTCTTCTCAACATAGAATGTAAGCTTCCTGAGAACAGAGGCGTTTCATGTTTTGCTCACTGCTGTCCCCACAGTACTGAGCAGTACCTGACAAAGCAGAAATGGGGGAACCCCCCTCTGGGTATTGTTCTGGCTGTACCCCACATGTACATTTAGTAGTCTAAGAGAAATCACTTCCAAATATTCTATAATCCATTTTTATTTCCTCCTATGCCATGGATCATTTTCATGTGTTCTTATGTGCTCTGTGGGTAGCTTTGTGTAATTCATTCTTAACTCCATTAGGGTCAGAGAACAACGCCTTTATTTTATGCAATTGTTTTCTCTATGGCCTAGTTCATAAGCAATTTCCAATCAAGTATATTGGAAAGCAATGAAGTGCCTTGTTTGTCAGATGTGGCATATACATTTAGTTTTCTGTCAAATTCCATTTTATCTGATTGAGTGTAGAAATCTTTGGCACAGATACATAGGTGTGTTACACAGAGTCAAGAACGCTCTGGGTGCAGTTGGCATTCTAGTGAAAAACCCACACTGCGGACAGCTAGCTGCCCCAGCTCTTTGGTGACTTTCCCCGATCAGCACTGGTACTGGAAACAATGGGTCCAACAGCGGCTTATTAGAATGACTGAGGTTAGAAAGATCTCTCTTTGGTAAAATTAGTGGTATTCAAGATCTGATGGGAGTTTGGATATTCAGGGGTGCTCCCCACCCTACATACAGGTCAGATGACCTGGCGAGGCCCCCGGTGAGGGCCTGAGACTTAGCCCTACAGCAGCACTGTGTCCAGCCCCTGGGATGGGGGGCAGCCCACCGTGGTTAGATGGACAAAATCCTGCTCCTGGAACGTCGGAACCACCTTGAAACCTTTCCTTCGAAAGGTCATGGACCGTCTAGTGAGAGATCTGGAACTCCACTAAGCTTACCTAACAGGCTGTAGGAGCTGTTTCTCATGCTATGTTCAGTGTCATCCTCTGGTGAGGCTGTGAGAGAGCCGACGAACGCACCCTAGCACTTGACATCTAACACTGCCTAACAGAAGTAACGTGGATGCTTTGGGGGCGCCTGGGTGGCTCAGTCGGTTGAGCGACTGCCTTCGGCTCAGGTCATGATCCTGGAGTCCCGGGATCGAGTCCCACATCGGACTCCCTGCTCAGCAGGGAGTCTGCTTCTCCCTCTGACCCTCATGATCTATCTCATTCTCTCTCTCAAATAAATAAATAAAATCTTAAAAAAAAAAAAAAGTGACGTGGATGCTGGAAGCAGACGAGACGGCGAAGGGCAGGTGCCAGCACCCACTGGGACAGTGTATTTGTCAGGGTCAGCTCTGGGGGTCAGCTGTGGGGTCACGTTCATAGACGACAGTGATAGGTGAACACAAGTTCTTACTCCATTCTTACTTCATCTTGTTATACTTATCAGTAAAGAACACTGTTCTTTGTCCTTTTTAACATTCTCATCTCGTCTGTTTTGGCTGATACATACAGTATATGCATATAATTAGGTCTGTAACCAGATTTGCTTGATATGTTCTGCTTTTCAGATTTGTTTCCATCACAAAATATATGAAAGAAGACTAGAGATTAAATAGCGATAAAGCTTTATCAAATCTTAACATTATTTTTCAAAATGACGAGAAACCTTTGACAGGTAGAGGTTTTTCAAATGCCAATCTCTTGAATAAAAAAACCAATATACACTAGAGCCTAGAAAAATTAATCATACCCTTTTACACTGTTTTCTGTTCCGACAAATTTTAAGAGAACTCGTCACTGGGAATTGTCATAGTCCATTTAGGCGGCTGTAACAAAACACCAGACTGTGGGTGGCTCATAAACAAAGGATTTATTTCTCTCTGGAGGCTGGAGAGTGGGGTCCAAGAGTGGGGTGTGGGTGGGGTCAGGTTCTGGCGAGAGCTCCCTTCTGGCTGCAGACTGCGACTGCTGTGTCCTCACCGGGCAGAAGGAGCCACCAGCTCTGTGGGGCCTCTCATCAGGGCACCGATCCCAGGCCTGAGGGCTCCACCCTCTTGACCTAAGCTCCTCCCAGAGGCCCCACCTCTTACCATCATCATAATGGAGGTTAACAATGGAACACAGGAATTTGGAGGGACATAAATATTCAGAACACAGTAGGAATTTTTAAAAATATAAGGATACTAATTTAGGCAGGCATTTTAAGCCTAGGATACAATTTGATTGATATCATGGGGTTAAGATAATGTACGAAAACTAAAAAACATGCCAAAAAGAACACAGAGGAAGAGTAGGGGTGGTTGTAGTTTTACTAAAATATATACTTGCTCGCACCTATAAACTGAATGCAAATTTCCCTAAATTCTAGAACTGGGATATTAAGAAGCAATTGTGATAAATAAATCATATAACAGAATTTTAAAATATATTTCACATTTCTAAAATCACTTTAAAAAAATCTGAGCATTACCTTAATATATTTTTATCAGAAATATACTTTTGGTAATAAATAACCATTTGATAAAGTTATACATATCTTCCTTAACTTATAGTGAAGTTACATCCCGATACATTCATTATAAGTTGAAAATACTGTTAGGTCAAAAAGCACTCAAGACACCAAATCCCACAGCTTGGCCTACCCTACCTCACACGTGCTCAGAGCACTTAAACAGGAGCCTACAGTCACAAAATAGGGAAGAGCTCATGTAACGGACTGAATACCGCACTGAAGGTGACAAAATGGTAGTTGGGCACAGACGGCTGCTGGCCCTGGAGACTGCTGCTGCTGCCCAGCATCAGGAGCGAGGATGTGATCACTCGCCGGCAGCCTGGGAGAGGATCCACACTCAAAACCTGAAGTCCCGTTTCTACTGAACGTGTATGGCTTTCACATCGTTGTCAATCCTAAGTCAGGAACTGTCTGGATAAACAAGTAACTATACAGAGTTAATTTTAATACATTAATAGGAGTAATCTTTACGGTAGACTTCATATAAAAATAAATTATTTTTCCTATTTTAAAAACTGGCAACGTAAGTTCACAGGCTTTAACCATCTACGAGGTGGGCGCGCGTGCCCAGGTCCATGCTGGGAAGCCTCGTCACACAGACAGACGCCTTCCCTGTGAGCTGGAGACGGCACCTGTGACGTGCGGGTCTGGGCAGGAGGGCCGCCCCTCAGCTCAGGAGGCCAAGCTGAAGCCGGCGCGGCGAGCACGGAGACGCCGCGGGAAAACCCGATCAGAAGGCTGCTGTTGTGAGAAGGCGACCCACTCCCACTCTACCTCCTCCAAAGAAATTTTTACTTTTAAAAATGGAAAGGCGGTTTCAGCCAAATGGTCTTTTACTACTTTGAGCCAAAAAAAGCATCATTCTCTTCCTTTATTTTCTGATTTTATGACCAAATATCCTGAAGATACCGTTTTTCTTCTTTCAAAGTAGCCAATGTTTTCATTGCTTCTAGTTTTTCAACTCCAGCCTCTTTGCTAATTATTTCCACAAGGGTATCACTGACATCTTTGGCCATATTCTTAGCATCTCTAGAAAAAAAGAAGAGCATCAATGTTTAGAAAACAAGAATTTCTACCAAAGCCTCCATAATTCACAAATCTAACTCCCACTGACTCTACCATCGTCCACCCTGGCCCTCCCTCTATTTCTCTGGGAAGCATCCTAACAGGTGTCCCAGCCTGTCATCCGTCAGGCCTCTACCCAGTGACCAGTCCAACTGGCAAAGCTGACCACATCATCACAGCTGAAAGCCCCTCCAAGGCGTCCACATTCCAGGAGCAGCTGAGTCTTCACTAAGTGTCTAAGGACCTCGTAAACCTGGCTCCTGCTCATCTCTCATCCCCTCCCTTCATTCTCCGGGCACACAGCAGAACTTGCATTCCCAAGGGCAACAAGGCTTTACGCCTACAAGCCTTCATACGCACACAGGTGCGTGCACACACACACGTGCGTGCACGCAATTATTAACAGACACACTTACTGAGAACTCAGTTATGGGCCTGGCTCTAAGCGCTTTGACATGTTTTAGCTTATTCATTTACAGGACGGGGGAGGGGCCCTGCTGTGTGCCCCTGCAGCCCCGACATGGCATCTGCTATACCGTGAGCACCTGCTGACGTGGCTTTCCCGCCAGGGAGTGTGCGGTCTGCGGTCACGGAGTGTGTCTCACTCGGCCTTGCAGCTCTCAACGTCTGAACTGTGCCAAGGCGCTCAGGAGGCACCAAATGTTGTTGAATGAGTACACGTTGGACGGGACACTAACAGGTCAGCAACAGAACCTGTCCTGTCCCTTACAGTAACATTTCTTGAAAAAGGTGTCTCCAGTGGCCACCTCGACTTCCTCATCATGCTCTCCCCTCAACCGCTCTGACGGAGCTTCCATCCCCATGGCCCCTCCCACGGCCCTAGTGGCTGGCAGTTGCCAAACCTACTGGTCCCCTCGGTCTTCTTACTTGACCATCAGCAGCAGAAGGCTCCCCCACCTGGGACAGCGTCCCCTGGACTTAGGGACAGGTTCACTCCTGCTGAGGGGCTGGTCCGCATTAGGGTGCCACGGGGTCTCGTTCTGAGCCCCCACCACTGACCACTGTCATGAACACTATCAATTCCATTGTGCAGATGGGAAAAGTGAAGCACCAGTGATTGTAAAAAGCGATTTATGGGTTAATGTGTTTGGACATTTAAGATACTCTCCAAGCTGTCATTTACCAGTTATTCATATATTTGTACAACTGACTTTGCCTCTATTAGTTAGAGGTACATCTAAAACCCAGCCTGGGGGCGCCTGGGTGGCTCAGTCAGTTAAGTGTCTGCCTTTGGCTCAGGTCATGATCCTGGGGTCCTGGGATCAAGTCCCACATCGGGCTCCTTGCTCAGCTGGGGGTCTGCTTCTCCCTCTCCCTCTGCCGCTCCCCCCACTTGTGCTTGTGCTCTCTCAAATAAATAAATAAAATCTTTAAAATTCCAGCCTGTTCAACACTGACAGCTCTATCCTCTACAAAGTGAAGGTCAAACATTTCTTTAAAAACTAAATGAAAATGTACACAAGCACAATGTCCAGAATCTATGCCCTTTATCAACCTAAAGCAGGGTTTCTCAACTGAGAGTCAAAAATCCATGAACGGGTCATAAAATCAACTTAGGAGGCAAAATCAATTTTTAAAAAAACAATAAAACAGAAGTTACCATAACATATAATGAGAAGTAAATAGAAAAAGTTGTTTTATAAAACCTGTTTCTGTTATATTTATATCTATATTCTAGGTCACTGTACCAGTATTTCTGCTTTGGTATCACAGGTAAAAACAACAACAACAACAACAAAAAACCACACCTGACTTGGTGATGTATGTACGTTTTAAATGCCTGGGATGTGCCAGAATTAAAAGGAGCTATTTCTTACTCAAAGGACCTTTTTAATTAGCACAGTTTTTTTGAATTCCATTAAAACAAGTTGGTAAGTTTCTAAAATTTTTATTTATGGCAATTTTGGGTTTCTGTAACAGATCTTGCCTCAGAAAGTATATAAAACTCAACATAAAAATGATTCCTGGCTTACTGTCAACTTTGACATTACAAATTATGCCTTAAAAAAAAGGATCTTTAGATCCACATTCTCAGAGTCAAAACTATGGTTTTCCTTAGCCGGGTCAAATGCACATATCTCATATTCTTGGACACAACAAAATCAATCCTGAGACTTCAAGTTAAATGATCAGCATCTTAACACCAAATAAAACTTTCAGAGGCTCAAACATGTATTCAATATGGCACAATGTATTCTGAAATGCAAGAATTGATTTCACTTCCATTTCCCTGATAATGACAACTTCTTGGCTATTAAATGTTAAAATCATTTCAGAACTTGTATTTCTATTCCTGTACTTAAGAATCAAATCTCTCATCCAACCTGTCTAGATTATTAATGGCCCCTGGTTCATTTAATAAGTATTATCAACTACCTTCGCCTACCTGGCATTTGAGTGACTGCCACTTACCCACAGACGTAAATACAGCCACACTCATGAAGAAGGAGCCTTGCCACCTGCTCGCTGTGAAGCCGGATGTTGTCTTGCACGTACTTCACTGGGGCTTCCTCCTCTCCAACAGGAGCATCTCTTGAGAAGGAAACCTTCAAGTGAGTCAGGATTCCACGCTGGTGGAAATGTCTGAGCTCCTCTCTGAAATACAATACGTAATAGGTTACTGAGAGGTTTGTCATTTAAAGTTAAAAGGTCTGAAATGAGAATTGTATACTCATTGTTGAGTCTTCCAATACTAGAATTATATAGTACCTGAATAAATAATCCCGATCCTTATGTCGGCAGCCAAAAAACAACCACATTGCTCCAAAGTGTCCATCTGGATGTTGTTCTTGGAGTTTCTCTCTATGTGGAAAAGCAAGCTGAGATGCTGAATGTAAAGAATATGTAAAACCAATCTGTTTGGTCAGAAATACCACCAGCCAATCCAGACAGGATTCACCGTCACTGTGCGTTTAGCCCAGGTTACCCCAGTCCTGCCCACGGGCTCCCAAGCGCCCCCAGCAGATGCCCACCCTGACAAGCACACCATCTGTGAGCTACAGACACCTGCAAGCTCTCTATGGCATCTCTGCGGAGAATTCAAAATGTCCCAGTGTGAAAGCTACGCTAATTTCTACATTAAATATTAACAGCAACTTTGTGAATAAAATTAACTCTTAATTAACGTAATGGAAGAGTGGCCCAGGGCTTTAAATGGCAGAATGATCTGCTGCGAAGGGTTTCAGGAATGACACAGCAAGCAGACACACTGGGTATGTCTGCCATTACTCTCTGCTTCCTTTAAGAAAAAAACTAAAACTAAAAACAACAAAAAGACTTTGTCCAAAGGATATTACACCACTATGTGGGGACCAGCAAAGAATTGTTCGTTATTTCACAAACAGGGAGAGAAGCACAATTTATTTTATATCAAATAGTTCTACACTGATACAAAACACATCTACTAATAACAATCTGCTGAAAATTACCGACATTTAGGTTTAACTTTGAAACTTTTGGTATAACTGGATCTCAGTTAGTAGCAATTTTACCTAGTTAAGAAATAGATGGAACAGTCTACACATCATCACAGCTTAAAGGTGTGCCTGAAATCTGTCCCCAACTACATACGTTATAAACTATAGTGCAGCTGGGGAAAAAAAGAAAAAAAGTGCTACAGTAAAAAGGGAAGTTCTGATACAAAACAAAACCTCTGGAAGACATCATGTTTACTTTTCCCGTGGTGACAAATTACGCTATCACACATTTGATAGTAATTTTTTAAAATAAAACTTTTACAACCAAAGTCCAATATCCAAAAAAAGCACTGAAGAAACAAAAAGGCTATTATATTTCCACCCAGGATCACAGGGACACATTTTCTCAGTAGTCAAAGAAAGCACACACCTGTGTTGCAGGAAACCAATGAAGGGCGCTATGCCAGTTCCCGGACCCACCATTATGATGGGGGCTGAGGGGTCACTCGGTAAGTGGAAAAAATTGGTTGTTCGAGGAGAGATGGATATCTGGAATATTAAACAAATGCTCATGACTCTGAAAGAAACCCTAGACAAAGGCATATAACCAAGATGATCTTTGCTAAAGAAATTAAATAGCAGCATTAAATCTTACTGAAACCATGAACACATTTGTCATTACAGAGGAAAAAAAATACCAGACAAGTCTGTCTTGCAAATGTTTCTTTTCCATCAAAATCAAAGGTGCTTTAGAAATTACAGGCATATTTCTAAGGTAGAACACTGAATAGATACAATCAAATTCTTTTCCTAGGCCCAGGAGTAAGATCTGCTTCCTAGTCGGCAACCCATTATCTGTATTATGGAGAAATGCACGACAAACTGAAGCTAGGATTCTCTGTGTTTACACATAAAGGGGCAATGAAGATCAACATCAAGATGGAGTGAGAGCTTCAAGAGCAAATTGGCACCTGAAGGAAAAATGAGGGGGTTGCTCCAAAGATGAAGAACTGTGCTGTTTGTTCAAAGTTTGATGTTATGTGTTCTTGCAAAACTAGAATAATAAGCAGCATACACAGATAAAGACAATCTTTTTGCTAAAATTTCAGAAGACTTTTCTTCTAAATCATGTGCCAGGGATATGTACAAGGAATCCATTTCTAAATATATCTCAGTCCCAGTGTCACTTCTCCATATGCGTGAGTTATACCAAGTGACAAGAATCTGTAACTGTATACATTTTAACCTTTAATGTAAAGAAAGGCTTTTGAAGTTCATCAATAGGATGAACACCATACTCTGTAAAGGAAGAACTGGCAGAGCGATGTGAGATGAATGTTGGCATTCTGGAATGAGACTGTAATTCATCTCACACTAGTCTCACATAACCCACTCACTTACCAGCCTCATTGATGGTACTCAATATGACAAGCACTACAGATAGAGAAATGAACAGAATCCCTGTCCTCATGCACTTACATTCTAATGGAAGGAAGAGACAATAATCAAACATTCATCTGTAAAATGACTGGTGATGATAAGCCCCGTGAAGCACACTAAAGCAGGATACACTGCGTAGGACAGGGGTGTGCCAGTGAGAGCACAGGGCCTGCGTTCTAGGGACCGCAAGGAGACCGGGATTAGTCCACTCTGGCTGCAGTAGATCTCAAACGGTTTACAACAGCCAACACTTCTGCCTGGCTCTCCTTAAAGGCTACAAGTGGGCTACAGCACTGCAGCCCAGATCCCCTCCACTTGTACCCAAGTCCAAGGAGCATCCCTGACCTGCATCATCCCATCCTTCCGTCAAAGAGGAGAGAGAGGCAAGCCACGCCAGCAGGGGGTTCAGCAGTCCTGCTTAGAGGGGGCACAGGTCCCGTCTGCTCACATCTCACTGGTGGAATGTGGTCACGCAGCCAGACTACACATCAATGGGTGGGGCAGTCTACGCTTCCCAAGGACAGGGGGTATCTGTCAACAGCTGTCCCATCTACCAGTTGGAGGGTGTGGGTGGGTCATGTGAATGTTAACATTCTCTACACTTCCTAACAAAATAGGTATGGCAGTAAGCACCATACAATTTAAATTGTATCCTTATTCCCATACCTCTAATGCCTGAATACTAGGGAATCTATAATAAAGATCTGTTAAAATGGACAAAGGAGAAAGAAAAAGGTGGAAGGGAGAAAAAGAATGTGTGAATGGCACCCATGCTCGGTGTTTGTGATAGGTTATGGATATATATATTTCTTTAACTTTCTGAAAGGCATCCATTTTTATAGGATCATAAAATGACATAATACTTTTATGTCCGTACCATAATATTTCTTCTCAAAAAGGGAAGTGTCTCAGGTTAATATTTTGTTGATGCATTGTGACCTAGGAGTATGGGGGGGGGGCGAAGGGAGGGGGTCTCTCTTTCTCTCACTCTCTCAGGCACCTCCGTCCCAGGCAGGAGCCTGGGAAAATACCACGGTAAAGGGCAATTTCAAGCAGCAGCTTCCCAAGAGCGCCCTCAAGTATATACTGAAGTCTTACTTTCCCCTTAGGGCATGAACTTTTCAACTCCAGTAACTTATAGCAACCAAACCAGTCCTGAGATAACACTACAAAAGACACATTCACTTTTTCAATACCACAGAAAAAGACTTCGTGATAAAGCCTGAAATGTTCTGTTTAATTTCAACCATCCTCACAGGCAAGGGGGGACTTTAAATTGTTCCTTATGCTGTAGTCTTAAGTGAGATTCGCCAAGTGCTGTATCAAAACATGAAGGATGGCACTAAGTCCAGATGTAAATATGTCCACGGTTTGGTCACAAAAATCAAGGAACATGTTTCTCCTACGTGTTTTTAAAGGGCTTCCCCCTCATTATGCCTTCACACTAACGGCACTAATTTGGATGTACACCACATCTAAGACAAAAAGGGAAGAAACACAGCAAAATCCTACTACCCAAAACTGAAGGACATAAAATTAATCTTTGGTTGTCAACTGATTGCCAAGTAAGGATTTATCTGGGACACAGGGTATATAGTCTATACATAAGATGAGGCTGTCCCTCAACACTAGCCTTCAGCATTTACATGGCTCTCTTCCTGTGCCCAATCTTCCCAAAGTATTAGCCAAAAAGATCTTTTCTATGAATATGACGAGGAGGAGAAAAGACTGTATTATCCAAAATTCACACTTTACATATGTGAGAAATATATGGATTAATAGTAAATGAAAATGTAATGTTTTACTGACTTCCCAACAGAGATTTTAAAAATCAAGTATGGCAAACATTTTCCTTTGAATAAACCTGACGGACACAGACAATGCAGGGAAGACCACATTAACCAGGCAAATAATTCTAATAATGCCCAAACTGCACACTCCCAGTACCTCCGGAGCCGGGGCTTTCCCACCTTCTGCACGGGACACTCGGGGGTACGGATGAAGAACGGACGCGGCCACCGTGGCCAGCCAGCCTGTGCATACGCCCTTCCGCAGAACTTCCATTGTGGTGTTCGACACAAACTCCACAATGTTAAAAATGAAATGAAGCTTCCCTGGGTGAGTCAGGTTTGAGCTGCAGAGACACACAGGTCAGTTTTAAACTCTGTATCAGGACTAACGCACACAGGCCAGACGCAGCATTTTTTACTGAAGGATATTTCCTGTGGGCTCTCATCTACCTTCCAACTCTTCAGGGAAAAGAGCTCTGCTGCTACTTAAAAGCTCCTCCTCTCCTGCCCCTGTTTTGTGATATTCAGAAAAATTTCCAATTACCTGTTTGCTTTAAGACTCCTTAAGATTTATACAACCTTTCATCTGTCCACTGCCCGCCTCTGCTGCCCAGTGGAGGTGGCCGGGCATGGCCGGAGGGGCAGCAGGTGGAGGACCGGGGCCTCGCAGCCCGACGTGGGGGAACGTGGCTGTGGACAGGGGTGCGCTGGAGATTCTACACTCTGAACACCTGCAGGACGGGAGTCCCAACACCAGTCTCCTTCAGTCCCTGCCACGCCTGCTGTTGTCGTCCACAAATCAGGTAAGTTTTCACCGGGGGAGTTCGGAACTAATAAGGATTTGGAAGCCAGAGATTCACAACATTTTGGGAGAAAGATCTTATATGTTAATAAATATCAGTACCTTGCACATGAATATGGTCTCGGCTGGAGCTTAGGAAGATGTTCTAGAAAAAAAAAAAATTAAAAATAAGCAATTACTTTACTGCTATTGAAAATTATATGTAAGGTTTTGTAAAAATTCAAGCTTGAGTTGGCTTTTTCCTATTTAGAACACCCAAAATAACATTTTAATTTAAATCATATTTTAGAGCAAATGTAAATTCACTGTGACTAAATAAGTCTTTACTGAATATTTTTTTCTAATTCTTCATGTTAAAAAATCAGACATATTGCATTTCTTTACCTGAAATCAGTGTCTTTCTAAAGGCTGGTTTCTTAAACCGAAGGATAATAAAAGCATCCGTGAATGGGTTTCAGAATCAAGAAACCCATTTATTTTCTGTGTGTACACAGTTTTCTGCAGAAGTGTCCAGAGTTTTCATATTTGAAATAAGATCATGACCCCCAAAAGATTAAAGATCACTATTTTAAGGATTATGAGAAATACCTAGGCTTGAAATATCTTTCCTCCTTATGTTTCTACAGCAACAAAATGAAAGTATAGGGGTAAAACTTTTAAGTTATCCAGAACCCAGTGGTTTCTAGATACATTGGAGCTCTTTTAAAAAAAGCAGGTCAAAGAATCAATCTTTGAATACCTAACTGCACACCAACAAACTCTAAAATTTTTTTCTGTTCAAGGTTATATATTTTATTATGTTAATCACCATACATTACATCATTAGTTTTTGATGTAGTGTTCCATGATTCATTGTTTGCGTCTAACACCCAGTGCTCTATGCAGAACGTGCCCTCTTTAATACCCATCACCAGGATAACCCATCCCCCCACCCCGTTCCCTCTAGAACCCTCAGTTTGTTTCTCAGAGTCCATAGTCTCTCATGGTTCATCTCCCCCTCCGATTTCCCCCCCTTCATTTTTCCCTTCCTGCTA